AAAAAAAAAAAATAACCAAAAAAAAACCTCAGACCAAAAATTCAAACAAGTTATAGGTTAGTGAAAGTAGGATTATCTGAAGGGACATTTTAAGCAATCTACAATGCTACCAGACTTACCAAGAAGGTGTAAGGTAGCCCTCAAGAAGCAGAACTCCGTTAGGAAAAGATCAGACCATTTTTCCTTTTACATTTCATAATTTTAGCAACAAAAAGATTAAAAGAGGTAGGACTCATCTTAAAAAATAATCTGAAGAAGTTGATGGTGACTGGCTATACAATGAGGTCTCCAGATCCTTGAATTATTATTTTACTTATTTTTCACAGGTGGAGTGGTAGTAAAATATTTGAGAGGGTTGCTGAATATCCTTAAGATTATTTGTTGCTTCAATTTGATTGAAAACAGATAACATAAAAAGTTATTGGAAAGGAGAAGGCAAGTAGGAAATCTTAGTTGGGTTGGGAACAAAAAAGCTGAACAACTTGAGCTGGAAAATCCAAATTCCTTCTCTTCTTTGGCACCAGCTTTTCATCTGCCTAGGAAGCTTGACTCTTTTGGTTCAATTGCACCAGCTAAGTATAATGCTAATCTATAGGATTTTGTAAACCACTATGTAACTGTTGAAAAATGTAATCTTCTGATGTATTTAATATGAAATTCCTCATTTGTTTTAGCTTGTCTAACACTTAGCAGTTCTCTTTGTTCATCTCTAAGATATCTTTGATTTAAGTAGATATGCCAACACCAGTGTTTAACTTCAGGTTTTGTGTATCTGAAAATGCCTGTTGTGTTGCTGTGGTATCTTTTCAGAGTAGAGATGAAACAAGTGCTAGGTAATATTTAAAGGAACATGACAATATAGAAAAGCCTCTCTGAAGAAAAAGGACTAGGGAGGGGGAAAAGAAAATAATGACCATTGCTGTTGTGACTGATATCCCATGGCCTGTACAACCACCATGTTGAAGCTCAGGACTTGAAATCAGAGGCAGTAGATTGGTGTTTAAGTGTTTCTTGACTGATTCTCAACACCTTAGTTTTGTAACCACTTCAAATATCCATAGATGAACAAGTTGCACCACTGAACCCTCCCCTTGATCATTATTTGGGCAACATTTCTTCTGTTACTTTTGTGTTGTGCGAAAATATTCCCCCCTTACAGAAATTCATTATTTCCTATTTTCCCAAGGTGATGGTGCAAAGGCAGTTTGTATAAATCTGTGTGCAGGTGGAATTGAGCTGAGACCCAAAGGGAGGTCTAATTGTGAGCACATTAACAGATATTTTATTAAGCATTACTTCAAATATCTGTCATGTTTTGAATTAAGCCTATTGGTACAAGGTGAGGTATTTAGCACAGCAGGACTGTGCACTTTACACCTTCTGACTTGGACATATGCTTTAGTTCAGTTTTTTCTTCCAAACAGCTACAGCTCCACCAGTCCCATCCTGCTGCTCTTGTGCTTGAGCACTTCTGTTCCTCTTATATTTATGACTCCCAAGGCTCAAGTAACTCTCTCTTCTCAGTGGGAGAAGTCATGAATGCTTTATCTCGTCTTCCCAGAATTGTGCTCTGTAAAACTCTTACCTTTGAATGGCATGTATCCTCAGTTTACCTGTTCCAGGAGCAGATTGTGCCCCAGTGTTAGCACAGCACAGCCATGTCTGAGGCAGAATTCCCACACCAGCCTGCACTCCCTCTGGCTTTCTGGGTGTAGATAATAGTTCACAGGCTTGTTCTTTCCATGACCACAGGCATTTCAAGCCCCCTACAAGTAGCACCCACTGTCTCAAATATTGTAGTTCTTTTCTTAATATGTATTGAGTTACCAGCACACACAACTACTGATTGTGATTTCTTTCCTCTAATTAGTGCAAAGTTTAAGAAAGGATGCCAGCATCCAGGTAAGTGGACTAGAAAGCTAATCACTGCTTTAAATGATCACCTGGTTCCCAAAGTCATGACCTTCATACCTAAGAAGTACATTTCTTGTTGCTGAGATTGGGATGACTGAACTTCTAACATTCTTTGCAGAACACTGTACATATGGTGCAACCAGTATTTTTCTAGAATTTCAGCAGCTTCATTATGCTTTACAATATGACTGATTTGGTACCTTTGACTGCTTTATTTTAATGGGAAAATGAGTGTCTTCAATGCAGAGTGAAATTAGAGGAGCAACAAGTATGTAGACTGCCTAGATTCTTTTTTAACCATTGAACTCAAGTGCAGGTCCCAAAGTGTACCCGAGTGACCTGCTTAGTCACACTCACTGATAACTGAAACACTGGCCTTGTTCTCAGCTCACCTGAATGCAGCTGTTCCAATGGAACAAGAAAATACAGTGGCACCAGAATGCCCAAGAAAGCAGAGTAGTGTGCAAAATCTCCAAGAGGCTGCCAGTGCTTTATCATCTGAACGCTTTATTTCTATTCTGCAGAAGATTATGCAGTCTGGGTGCCTTTTCCTATTTAAACTTCAGGTTTCTGCTTTAAAACCTCTCATGGAAGCATGACCTGCAGTTCTCATGGCAGCAGCCAGAACTTGTCACAGCATTCCAGAGAGGTTGCTACTGTCTGATCTTGCTGCAGTGTAGATATTAGCTGACAGCTCTTGGAGCCATTCTAATCCATCACTCCTGATCCACAATGGAAAAATTCTGGCTTGCAAAAACAAAACACACACCCCATGATCCTCTTGATGTAGCTTAAAGCCATATCCAGAATCTTCTGTATGTTTTTCTTGCC